AGTAAATAAACAAAAAATTGTTTACAAAATTTAAAAAAAAATTTTATTTAAAAATTAATTTTTTTATCAACTTTATTTGCATTTAAAAGTACATACTTTTACCTGAATAATGTGTAAATTTCATAAAAATCCATTAAAAAATATTTCGATATACACTGGAAGCCCCGAACTTTGGACTGCTATGTAATGGTGTCCAATGTTCGGAGGGGACACCTTGACGACTGAAAGTATAAATATTCAGGGCCGTACGCTTCATTAAAACGAAGATGCGCTTATTTAATATTACATATTCAATGACAATTTTGTTGTCAATTTATTAAAACATAATTGAAAAACATTGTTTTCAATTTTTTATATTTATAATTAACAACTGATTCACATGATTCAATTTATTAACAAGTTTTTAAAAAGAGCCACAAAACGGTACACTTTACGCAGACGCTACTGCTTTTAGTTCAACGTTTGTCCGTGCTTCCCGCCGACCCTTCACTCTACTTTGTCTATACTCTATGTCAAAACAATCCAAAGTGCGGGGGTTCCAGTGTATTCAAAATTTTATAAAATTAATATTAAAATTCAAAATTGGGTATCTTTAACAATTTTGAATTTTTTTTGCGCAAATCGGCATACCCTTTGCAAATCGTGATATTTCTGACGTAAAATGCCTCTATTATTATTATTATTATTGTTATTATTATTATTATATTATTATTTTAATATTTTTATTATTATTTTATTATTATTATTTTAATATTTTTATTATTATCATTATTACTATCAGGTAGTAGGCCTATTTCCTAGGCAGTAAGCTTCCCGCGTAAAAAAATGTTGGCTCGCTCAGGACTCGAGACTTGGTTGAAGCTAAAAATCCACCTAAAGCTCAAGGATCGCTAAAGGCTCGAGACTTGGTTGAAGCTAAAAATTCATCTAAATCTTAAGACTCGCTCACGGCAAATTATTCATTTTATTTTATTTATTAGTGTTTACAGGCACAAAGCCCTTTTGTACAAAGTACTTAACAATATTAAAACTAATCAACAACAAGTTACCATAAAGAATGTTTAAATGTTATTATTGTTTTCAAAGACTGCTAACTTTAAGTTCCTGCAAAATTTTCTCATTGGTGTTGAAAAAAGTGTAAATTATTAGTAAGTAAGTGTGCTGCTATATAAAACAAACATAAGATAAAAAAATATAGCCTGAAATTTAAATTTAATAACAATGTATTCTAGCAACACAACACCAGTGTTAATAATTGTAATGTTCAGGTGTGATTTTATGACTAAAAGTACTCCAAATTACTTTTAACTGAATAAAAATTTGGAATAGTGTAATCTTTGTTGTTCTTAATTGAACTTTTATGTCTAATTTTATTATCTAAAATATGTAGTTAGTTTTTAAGCTGAAAATTTCTTCACTGTTTAAGGCAGAAATTATTTTTGATTTAAAAATTAAGACTATTCTCTTAATAAAGGTACAAATTATACGTTCATTGAATATTTTTTAATTATATTTGCCTTACATAATACATTAGATAACATTAACAGATTGATTGTCTTTAGTTAATTATTTTTAATGTTCGTAAATAAATTAACGTTTTAGTCAACTTACATAAACTAGAAATTAAGAGGATTATACAATTCTATTATTTAACTTCAAGATAACGCTGGTCTGACGGGATTGTGTTAATATATATTTTACAAAGATTCATTTGATAGTAAATACTAATATTTAAAGCCAAAAATGGTATGTTTTTTAAAGAAGAAAAATTTGTCATACCCAAAGTTAAAAAAACCTAATTTGTTTATAAAAAATTTATATTTTTTTTAATAAAACATGAAAAAAATTGTTATCATTATTGAATAGTACAGAAAAAAACAAAACTTTTTTTCTCTTGTCAAAAAAAGAAAATAAACAATATTTTTTAGTTATCCGACATTAAAAATAGATCTGCATTTAATAAACGAAAATTTTAAAAATTCATAACTCAAAAATTTGTCCTAGAAAAAAATACCTATCTGTTTTTTTCAATATAGAAAAGAAAAAAGTAGGTTTTGCCGATTTTAAAGGTCGACTTAAATTTTACGTGAAATTGACCATATACAAAGAATTATGATTGTTTTCAAAAAGTTTTATAATAAATCGCGTGCATAAATGTTAATCATGAATATTAAATCAATATTTTCTATCGTTGACTCTTTAGTTTTCTTGATAATTTGGTCTATTTTAATGGTATTTAATTAAATTGTGAATTAAATATTCAGACAAGGAAATCGTGAGTATTGCCACCTAGCGTGTGTTAAGTGCGGCTACCTTTTTCTACACTCCATGTTATCGATACTTTACATTGGAAGAAAAAATTATTACTTTAATTAATGTTTTTATTGTTAATATGCAACAATTAACAAAACTATATAATGAATTAAATACATTAAATATCAAAGAATATATATTGATTGCTTTTTTTAGCATTTTATTCCTTTTTTCATTACAAATTAATAAATTTCACACACTATTTCAACTGTCACATTAACACTTTTACATATTAATATTTAATTATTTACAACATAATTTACCCTAAATGTTGGATAAATTTACACTTTAATACTCCATTTATTATTTTGAATAGTTTATTTCAACATTCTATGCTTTTTTATTGAATTTTTCGACCAATTACCGAACTTATACCGAACGTATACCCAATTCGGTATATTTTCAGGAAAACCCGACCGTCAGGGATATTAATGTGCTTGTCTTTGTAACTGGCGTCAACCGCGGCTGTCCACGTGCTTATAATCGGGTGTAAATTACCAAAGTGCAAATAAAATCCCACAGCATCGAGAATTTCTTGAAACAAGACAAGATCTCGCCCAGCGAGGTTAGAAATACTGCGTGGTAAAACTCGTGGAGAATTTGAGGTTATTAAAATGTCCGCTTATAAGGAAATATTGAATATCAAACTTGAGCAAAAAGTTTACTGAAAATAATGACTTTACATGTTTAGGTATGTATCAAAATTGTATGCAATATTCACCTAATTATTAAAATTTCGACTGCTAATATAAACTGAGCGATTTCTTGTTTAGTTTCAAAAAAATTCTCGGTGCTGTGTGATTTTCATATAAATCACGTATAATGTAAAATTTGTCTTAAAACTTTATTTAATTTTAAAGGTACTTTCCTTTATTTCACTTACTCATAAAAATTGACTTAATGAGCATTAAATTTGCCATAAATACCAATATTTAAAATTGAATACCTTTCTATACCTAACTTAAAATTGCTTTTCAATTCCTTTCTATACCTTGGTCAACGTTTATGTGGCGAAAGGAATTAAAATTTTTTTCTTTATATACTCTTATTGGAAATTCAAAACTCAGGACAATAAAGGAATTCAATTTTTTCAATACTTTCTAATGCAAGTCTTTTTACCGGGATTGTTCAAAATTTGTAAGGTTATGTTCTTTTTCTGATTAATCTTTTATTCTGTATTTTATTTATTTATTTATTTCTATTTAATTTACAACATAAGATCCCGCGATCCAAAGTGGATCATAAATGGGTAACGAGAAGTCGTACAATATATATATATATATATATATATATATATATTTTAAAAAGTTTAAACAATATAAGTATAAATATATGTATAAATTTTTCTTTTTTTTAGAAGATTAAATAACATTAGATTTTGCGTAATTCTATGATTAATTTTAAATATACAAAAGTTTATTTGACCGTCGCATAACAATTAATCGTCTATGAAATGTATGTATGTAAATAAAAGGTCAAATTTAACTTAAATATAACGTATCGGCCGATATGGAGAGCTTTATTATTATTATTTATTATTATTTTTATTATTACTATTATTCATTATTATTATTTTATTTTTATTATTATTATCCCTATTGAAAATCCCCATATGGGAAACAACATGGGTTCCTATGTCAAAAACCATGTAAAACCCTACTTCCATGAAGGAAACCACGTGGTTTACCATGTGGTTTCCCATGTCAAACCATATGGGAAATTGAGACAGGATTTTAGTTAGGAATAGACATGGGGAATTTGAACAGTTCAATAAAACCATATCAAATCCCACATGTTTTTCCCAGTCAAATCCTAAACCGAATCCCATGTGAAAAACAGTATCATTTATTTATAATTATTTTTCTAAGTCAATCCTATACTTTCACCGCTAGGTGGCGAAAGTGACTTCTCTCGCTGTTGAGACGACTCTAGAAGTATATAAAAACTGAGAACCTGTAGCAGAGAGGACGTGTTTTAAATGATCGTTTTTTTACTTTTTTGATGACTTGTAACACTAATACTATTTATTATTTAATTTTTTATTAAATAATTTTTAATCCTTTGAAAATTTCTTCATTGGATCTTTATTAAAATACTATGTTTTCAGATCAAAAATTAAATTCAAAAAATATAATTATTTACCGACAACCATATCGGAATAATTTTCTTAAGAATAACACCTGACTCTAAACCAAAGAGTTCAATTGACTTCTAATAGATGTCACTAATTGCTGATATAGTCGAAATCTTCCTTAATTAAAATTCTTCATCAGCAAATAATTTCCTACATTAACTATACAGCTCTTCGACTAGTGTATGGGCTTGATCTGAGATTATAAGAAACGTGAACGTCCAGGCTGTGTTGGCATGGTGCATTGGTAGGCGTTAGTCCCGCGAAAGGCAGCTATTAACTGGGGTTCGAGTCCTCACAGATGCACAGTGCAGTCGTTCACGCAGCTTATTTTTTCAGATCAAAAATTAAATTCAAAAAATATCATTATTTACCGACAACCATATCGGAATAATTTTCTTAAGAATAACACCTGACTCTAAACCAAAGAGTTCAATTGACTTCTAATAGATGTCACTAATTGCTGATATAGTCGAAATCTTCCTTAATTAAAATTCTTCATCAGCAAATAATTTCCTACATTAAATATTAATTTTCAGTTAAAATATTTACTAACTTGCTTCTGACAGTATTACGACCTCATAGGATATCCAATGTTTTTTCGGATCTGCACATTCCTTACTCCATTTTGGGACATTACAATAATCCTTTTTTGTAGGATATTTGCAATATTTCTTATAATTTTCATCATAGTGCACCCATCTTTTTGGAACCAAATCTACCATTAACTGTCCTTCATCATTGGAAACATTAAAATTGACGATTAGATGTGTTGTAGTTTCTTGAAACTCCATTTTAATCTAAAATAAAAAATTTAACAAATAAGATGCTATGAAAAATAAATAAACTTAATAAAAGTAAAACATACAGGTTTTTCCGTGCAGAAGAGTAAAAGCAAATGATTTTTGTTGATAGTTGAAAACTACGCATTTCCTAAATATTTCATTGAGTTGAATGACTTTTTTTTGCTTCGAAAATGAACCTAACTCCATTATGCCAATATCGCTGGATTTACATGGATTTTTAAAAACGTCAATAAGTTTTTCGCATTCATATCCTTTTATTAAAATATTTCGGTGTTCCTTTTTTATTTCAGTGATTTGGAAGATTTTTTTCCTTTCTGTCAGAACAAAATTATCTGGTTCTTTATTTCTTAATATAGAATCGTGGTAAATAATTTCAGGGAGATCAGCTTCATTTTGGTTTAAAAATTCAGCGTCCATAATAATATCTTCCTTTTTATGTAAAACAAATTTTTTTTTCGAGTCAGGACCAGATTTTAATTCTGATAATCTCGCGTTCAATTGTTCCAAAGGCTTCCTGCGCGATCGATTAAGAGATTTTAAATATCCTAAAAAGTTTTCGAAGCAATACGCCGAGTAATTTGGAAGAGGTCCTTTCATAAAATCGACGTCGTCAGCAATGTGAATTAAATTGTGATTATTCATTACTTGCGAGTCCTTTCCATAAAAAGAAGGAAGCAAGTAAAAAAACTGACGTAACAGATCTCGGGCAAAATTTGAATTTTGTGTGGCTAAATGAGAATCGCATAATACTCTAAAGGCGACAACTAATAAGCGGTAGTGCCGATAAATATTGTAGGGTAATATGTCCCGCATAACAATTACGCCACAGTAAAGAAGAAAAAACCTAAATTGCGTTCCTTTCCAATGAGAAAGTTCATCTAAATTCAAGGTTTTTCTTTGAAATTCCGCCGAAATCCCTTTTGAAACTTCAATTAAAGCTGCTTCCAATAATTTTATATTTGTTTTGCAAAGTCTGGCCTGTCGCTGTTTTTTCTTTTTAGCGGGCAACCACTGATCAAGCAGCCATTTTTGAACTCCCAAATCTCGTAAATGAAGTGATTCGATCAAAATGCACTTGATCGGATCAAAATTTGGCAAATGTGTTAGTGGTGATCGACCGACATGATGCTGACTCTGTGATTGCCTTCTAAAAGAAAATTTTGTTCTAAAGGCTGCACTTCTGGAAGGATAGACTCTCTTTTTATTAACTGTTTTTCCTTTCGTTACACAACGCTCACATGCGTAAAAGGATTGATGTCCTTTTACACATTTTATGAAAGCTCGTGCAGGAGTGTCGCAGGAGAAACCTATAATTTCCACAGAATAATCCGCATTGTGCAAATGAAGACCATCTTCCAAAAGTTCACAAGCTTCGTCAATGAAATCTTGCATATATTGTCTTACTGATATTGGCTTCAAATCTCCACAAAATGCAGCAACAACAAAGGGCCAAGATTCATAATCGTTATCAATTACTCTTGCTGAAAAAATCCAAAACTGCAGAGAAGAATTCCTAAATATTGGCACTCCATCAACATTAAATAATAATTTAATAACATTTTTATTATAATTTTCAGGAATTATCATTTTTAAATTATTTTCTATTCCATAATAAATATATTTTCCCATTTTTCCTTTTGCACTTTCCATGGGGCGAATGATTTGTAAATTATTCCTTGTTTGTAATAATGTTGCCGCAGAAATTGGAACATCGTGTCCTTCTCCTTTTAAAAGTTTTAATAATTGGGTTAAGCAATCTCTTGTTATGTTCCGAATATTATTATTTGCCCAAATTTGCAATTTTGTAGAAAAATTTTGTAGAATATTTAGTTCCTCGTCATCAAGCATTTCTTCATTATCAACTGCTTCTTCATTGTTAGACACTTCCTCATTTGATGTTGACATATTTGAAAACTCATCTGACAGTCGGTTAAAATCTCTGTTATTTTGAATTGAAGTATCACTGTCATGAAGAGATTGTTCTGACGGGGAGGATGGTGGAATAGTTTCATTTTGAAGTAATTCTTGAGCTCGCAGGCTACCCGAATTATCTAAAGAAGATGAATTATCTGTTTCGTTGGCTTCTTCCTCACTTGATGATGGACCTTCCTGTTGTTTTTTTAGTATGCGATGCTTCTTCAACCGCTCATAAGTACTCATTGTCTAAATCATTTTAAAAAGTGTCAAATGTTGCGAGAAGAGGTCAAGGTAAACAATTATTTTTATTTTGCAGTAATATAAGGGAATCAATATAATTGTATATAAAGTCTAAACATATAATATAAAAACATATTTATTTTTGCTTATACGAATTTAAACTTGTGTAATCTATAAAGTAAAACATTAATTTTCCAATACTAAATCAGAAATAATTTTTGCTAACCAACGACATACAAAATAATTAATTAAATGGTAAAGATTTGAAGAACGTGAAATGTTTGATATATTTAGAGATAATATTCTTAATTTATGAAACACATCCCTATTAGCAAGAATTTCACACTGATTAAACAACCTTGAAAGTCATGAAAGTAATTTTTCAGTATTGAATAAAAGGTTAAAATTACAATTTTGTCACAGGGAGATCGTAACATAATTAGCAAAAAATTTAATGAATGTTAATATTATTGATTATTTCTGTATAATTGCCTACACGGTAGAATTAATAACACTATTTTTAGGTTAGAAATTCAGAGATTTGAATTTCCAAACAAAAGTAAAACTTAACCTCTTAACTGTAAATATGTAAAAAAAATTATTATACATTGAAGTAAATTATTACCATAGACAATATTTATTTATTCTTTTCGTGAATAATAATAAATTTATTTGTAACTAGTATTTAGTAACAATAGCAAAAATAAAGAAAGTTTAATTTCAATTATCAAATTTCTACACACACAGATTTGTAACTTCAATTTTAATATTTGTTCTCTATAAATGTATTTTTTTAGTTTTTAAAAACTTTTAAGGAGTTTAAAAGTTGTAAGATAAAAAAACGTAGCGATTATGTATCTTATAGTATTAGTCACGTTTTTCAAGTTTTCATAAATCGAAAGAAATATACTTACACTTCACACTTATGTTCCGGCTTTAGAGATATCCTTTTATCTGCAAATTTTTGTATATATAACTTGTAATATTAATATAAATCACTTATAAAATGCACAGTGCAGAAGTTTTAATTAAACTGGCTTGAATACAATTAATATAATTTTAAAGAAAATCATTTCTTTACAACTTTATATCACCGACGCCACGGTAGCCATATTGTCGAGAGAACGCGATGTGACGCGACGCGAACAGGAAGACAAGATGACTTGCGCTTGCGCAACAGAACCACAAATTCATTTAATGGCTGCTTCAGGCGCGCTACTTTAAAATTATTTGTATACCAATACACACTAATTATTTAGTACAGCAGATAAATAAAGGACACATTAGAATAGAAAATTAATAAAAACTAATAGTAATTGATTTTTTTACACCTCGGTCGAAAGTACGTATTTTCTTTCTTCCATTTCGCAGAAGAAAGTCGAACATTTAGGCTTTAGTTGATCTACACATACACACCTACACTCCCTCTATTACAACGGAAGTAAAGAAATTCTTTACCGGTGAAATCACTACTGCGTCGGTAAATACGAAAATTACATGTTCTATGGAAGTGAATAATTTTTATTTAAAAAATAATTAATAAGAATATTTATAATCAATGAATTTAATGTACACAAGTTTTGACATTCAAACCATTCAAATGAACGAAATTTTCAACAATGTTGTAATAAAGTTTTAATTTGCAGAAATAATTAAATTTTGTTTATTTGAACGTTTAAAATTTCAAAAATACATATTGTAAGAGAGAGAGAAAGACAGACAGAGAAAAAGCCAGAACTTCACGAGTATCCAATAGAGGCGTTGAAACGGAGAGAAAAAGTAAAAGATGGCCGGCTGTCAAAATAAACATGATTGCAATTTTTTTAATAAATAAATTAGCGACTGTACTTTCAATCGGATATAAAGAAAAATATTATAATCTTACACGGGGCAAAATTATCTTATCAATTAATATAATACATAATTGGATGTGATAATGGTTATATTAAATACATAATTGGTTTGTCAGATTGTTTAATTAATAATATAATTTATACTGATTTACATTTAAATTTATAATTTGAACCAAAAACATTTTACTTAAATCAGATAGAAAGAATTAGAAAAATATGTTTATTTATTTGATAATAATCAAGTAACAGGTTATTTGAATCAAACATTTTTTCCAGTATAAACTACAAGCAATTTTTTCAATACTGAGCCAGTACTGGCTGCCCGTCCTTAGAGGCCTGGCTAAGCATTGGGGAAACAAAAATTCTGTACTGGGCAAGTCTTGACTGACAAGGCTTGTCTAGAGTATGGCTGGACAATCGGCTTAGTACTAAGCCAGTGGTAAGCATCGGCACTACACTGGCATTTCCCATTGGGTAGATGAACTGTTCAAATTTCCCATGTCAATTCCTAACTAAAATCCTGTCTCAATTTCCCATATGGTTTGACATGGGAAACCACATGGTAAACCACGTGGTTTCCTTCATGGAAGTAGGGTTTTACATGGTTTTTGACATAGGATCCCATGTTGTTTCCCATGTGGTTTCCCATATGGGGATTTTCAATAGGGATCGACGGTAGTTACAAAAATAAGTCAAAATTGGAATAGACGCAACGTAAAGGTCCTTAATATTGGGTCTCCTTTTGACGTGTAGGTAAAATAATATATTATTTTTAGAGAAAACCACATTGATCGTATGATTTGTCTTTGTCGTGAGAATCACCCCTACATTGATTTTTTGAAATTAACTAATAAAATTTTACAGTTGTTAATTTTTTTATTTAAACTGAAAGTTGTTTACTTATTTTTGTGTGCATTTATAATATTAAAGTAATTCAATGTTCCCTGAAGACCCAGATACTGATGGAATTCTATGAATTTATGATTTTTTCTTCGAGCACAAAAACATCCATCAGTTTCTTTGTTTGAAATGCGAAACAAACTGCATTCCAGCACGAGTGTTTGCCACAAGGGACTTTATACTTCACTCGTTATTTGCTTCTTGAGCGTATATTGGTTCAGGAAGTTAAATAGCTGCTCTAAAATTGGTCAATAAATCTTGAAATCGAATCGTGTGCAATTTCAAGATTAATGTGTTGTAACCAGAAAAAGTAATATATTTTTTAACCTTTTATAATATTACTTACATATATGAAAAATAAAGTACCGAATTGATGTTCGTTAGACAAAAATATTTATAAAATTGTATAAAACTAAAGAAAAATTGTACATTGTACGTCGTAGCCACTTTGTTAAAAATGGCAAAGTATGGTCACTTTGTAAAAAAAATTATTTCATAATGAGTACAGAATTTTTGTACGTTTTATGAAATACAAATGTAGTTCTCAAAATTTTTCGAAATATTTCAAAAATACGGAAAACAAGAATTATCAAAGCTCAATATACATTAAAGATGAAAACAAAAGTTCTCTTTATTTACAGTGTATTTTTAACTAAATAATCAAAATTTATTTTTAATTATTGTTATGATTATGACTGTCATTTGTTTAATGTTGTTATTTAAAAGAAAAAGCTCTTAGGGATACCTGAGGAATTATGTGAAGGAGTACAGTGTCATATTTCAGACCGTTTGGTCAAGTAGATTTTGAGTTATGACGTACACGAACTTCAAAAACAACAAGTTTCTGAAAAAAGCTTCAACCTTTGAGGCTCAGATACACAATACTTAAAGTTTGGCATTATTTTTAAATGTTAAAACGCAATTTTAAAAATTTTGCAATAGACATTTGTTGTGGCTCAGGAATCGCTCTTTTAAATAACCCAAGAAAAAATTGACAACTGGCGCAGTACTGCGCCAGTACTGCCTAGTACTGGCAGAGTACTGGCCGCCATGGTTGAACCAGTACTGGCATTTGACCGAAATGATAACGCTTTTCAGTACTGGTTTGATGTTACTGGCGCAGTACTGGCAGCCAGTACTGGTTTAGTACTGGCGCAGTACTGTTTCAGTACTGGTTTAGTACCCGTGTAGAAAAATCTTCTGGCGCTGGCCTGAATCAGACCAGACCGTCTATTTTCCAATCTAGTGGAAAATTTATTTAAATTCAATGTTAATATAATAAAAAAAATTAATTTATATTTAGGGTAATGTCACATTAAGTGGACCGCTACTTTGAGTGGACCACCTGAGTTTTTAAGTTATCTGACAGCGGAAACGTGAAATAAATAAAACGAATAGCAGCACCGCACCTAGAAACAGTAAGAATTTATGTTCCGCGATAATCATACACGTTATTGTTTGATGTAACGCATTTTTAAGAACACAAACCAAAAAAGAAGTCGCTCTTACAATGAGTAAAGTGATTCGGAAGCGTAAAAGTAGTGCAACATTTAAGTTTTAAAAGGTAACTTATTTTTTTCCTACTACTTTGGACATTGGAATTGATTGTGTTAGTTTAATTAAGTGATAATTTTGACTCAAAAAAAAATTTTGGTGTCTGCCATAAAAAGTTGCATGTCACCATGAGTGGACCACTGTTTATAACCATGATTGGACTGCCTGTTTTTTATATTTTTAATGTCAGTTTACCATTTTTATGGAAATAAATTGACAATAAATTGGTTTGAAACTGTTTTATGTTCTTTATTAATTTTTTTGTGATTTTGATGTGATATGTGCCAAAATTATTGAAAATGGTTTCACTTGTAAACATTGCGACACAAACATGGTCTGAAGCTGCATAAGCATGAATTTTGTTTTAATATATCAGAAATATTAAATACATTAAAGAATTTAGAATAACTTTTAAAATTTTTTAAGAGTGGTCCACTCAAGGTTACACTTTTTTCATTCCTTAAAAATGAGCTATTTTTTAAAAGTTAATTGTTTTTTCCAAATAAAAAAAATCAATGCTATTATGGTATAAACACTTATCTAGGGATCTAAACTAAAGCTTGAAATAGAAAACTCCGATTAATTTGCTGTCATGAAGAATTTTTTAGAAAAAAAGCTTAGGCGGTCCACTCAAGGTGACATTACCCTACAGACATGTAATAATCCCCAACTTTTGACTTTTAATCAAATTAATGTTTACAACGCAGAATAAACGCAAACCTATAACGAAATCAAATTTGACACTGCGAGGAATCGAACCCACGATCTACGGACTTTTAGCCTAACACTCTAACCACTACCCTATCGAAGCTACAGGACAATAAATTTTAATTTTTGACACCTTTTATACTTACAATTAATAAAGAGCGTTTAACTGTGTAATTTAGTTAAATTATTATTTAATTGAACTAAATTCAAAAAAATCAAATTAGTAAATTACCTAATAAATTTCCATAAATTATCTCTAAAATATCTGTAAATTACCATAAATTACCGACGTTACATTTTTTAGGTCTAATTTGTGTTTTACATATTTTAATAATTAAAGTATCGTCAAAATGTTTATAAATTATCTCATAAATTTCCATAAATTACCGATGTTAATTTTTTTAGTTCTCGTTTGTGTTTTACATAGTTTTATAAACTATCGTCAAAATGTTTATAGATTACCGCATAAATTTCCATAAATGACAGAAATCCAAAATTTTAATTATTGAGAAAATTTCTATAAATTTCCATAAATTACAGCAAAAATTTCTATAAATTGCTAAAATAAAAATTTTTAATTGTAACTTATGTGGAACATATTTTTATGAATTATTGCAAAAATTTCCATAAATTACTGCATAAATTTCCATTCATTAGTTCCTAACTGACTATTGTCAGTTTACCGTGTTAGCAATACTGGCACAGTACTGGCGTAGTACTGGTTTGCCAGTGCTGTTTCCGCAATACTGGCACAGTACTGGCATACCAGTCTTAAAGGCAGTACTGGCGTAGTACAGAAATTTTATTGAAGCCAGTACTGAACCAGTACTGGCAAGCCAACTGCTGGCAAGCCAGTACTGGTGCAATACTGCGCCTGTTGTGAATACTGGCATTTGACAGAAATTTTTGCTTGGGAATGTATCCGAAAATTTTTAAATTCAAAAATAAATAAATTACAGATGATTATTTAATAAAAAAAACATGAATCCTGGACCAACAAAAATTACTTGCTTCACGAATTTTGACTGAAATATCTATTCAAAGAAATCAGTGAGTGAAAACTTTACTTATAATAACTTATTTGTTTTAAATCTTTACACTATAATACAAAAATGTTTTTTGAAATAATTGAAGTGAAAATAATATTTCACCTTGGACGATATACTTCGACCCGATTGAGCAACATAAATTTTTTCTGGTTCTAAAGCACAAAAATTATTTAAACATAAATTTTTTTGTATAGTTTGATTACGACAAATGCCCCGCAGACTAACCAGATACAGCTCAATCGAAAGTAATTCAT